TAAAGGGTTAGGGTCCGTGACCTGGCTCTGAAGTTAAAATCCAGACCTAGAGGATCATAGAAATGGTGGGGGTCCAACCCTCAGGTGAGGATTGCAGATGAGAGAGGGGTCTCTGACAAGGCTGCGGCAGCAGGCTGAGAGCAGGGTTTTGCCCAGCTGCCCCTCACCGAGTGGCGGGGGCGGGCTTTTCCCCGAGAGTGAGAGTTGGGTCAGCCTGGAGGGCTCCTTTTGGCCCCAGCTGCAGACCGGGGGGGAAATGTGTCCGCCTGGGTCTTGAAGTCTCCCACCCGCTAACAGGGATGCTGCCCATCTCAGGTCATTGAATTACTGCCGTTCTCTGGTGGTGCCTAGGACGTTGCTGTACACGTTCTCTGTCCCTGCCTGAGTGCTGTTATCTCAACACGGCCTCGTGGGTCTGCCTCTGCTTCAGTGCGTTCCCTCCCCTGCCATGCTCCGGCTCTCCACCCCCGAGGGTTTCTACACCTCCCCCAGGCTTCCTGCCTCACAGTGATTTATCCCTGTGGCATCTGGAACACTGGCTTGAGATCAGATCCTCTCAGGGGGTGTGAAAGTCTTATCTTCACGACTAGCTTGTCGGTTCTTAGAGAGCATGAGGCATTTGTGACCTCCGCGGGCTTTGCCCCGTGCCTGGCACCCTGGGTTTGATGAGGTCTTGTTTGTTAGGGAAGGTAAACTGTGTGTTCATCGCCAACTGAAGATTTTCGTCTCCCAGGATCCCTCATTTCCATTAAAGGCATGTTTTAGACTGGCCTTGCTTTGGGTCCTCGTCCCATCCCAGCCTTGGTCATGATGACCTTGCCTCCAGCTTCTGCCACCTCCCAGTGTAATGAAACTCAAAAAAAGAGACTAATCTACACCCAAGGTAGGGCTCCAGCCCACAACCCTGGGATCAAGAGTTACACACTCAACTGAGCCAGCCAGGTCCCCTGAGGTTAAAAATCTTTTTTTTTTTTTTTTTTTTAAGGTAGGCTCCATACTCAAGTGGAAGAGTCCCATGCCCAAAGCCTGAGCCAGCCAGGTGCCCCTCAGTGCTAACAAATTTTATAGTCAGCACCTGGCCCAGAATGCCTCAGACCCTCTCCTGGTTGGTAACAGATTAGAGAGTATGTCATCCTGTTACAGAAAGTTGGGGTCATTTGACATGATTTCCTGGTTCTCGCCCACCTTGACTCTATGGACTATTTTTCTGTCTGCTCACTTTCTGGAAGTTTCTTGTAATCATTCCCGTTGGCTTGGTTTTCTCTTCCTGGAGAAGCTTAGTGTCTTTTTTATGCTTGGAGAGTTCACTGTGTTCACTTTATAGTTGGGTGTTGTCGCTGTTGTTTCTTTGTTTTTGCTTTTGCTTCTTGCTTTAAATTAAAAAACTACAGAGAAGCAGGAAGAATAACCTAAGAAATACCCATGGACTTTCCACCCAGTTTAATAAATGGTGACATTTGGTTATGTCATTTTTTTCAACCAAGGAAAACTGTTACAGATCAGTTGGAAGCCCATCTTGTTTCTTTCCCAGGCCCTTCCCTTCCTTCCCTAGAGGCACCCACTCTGATGAATTCCGTAAGTAGCCTTCCAACTTTATGTTTTTATGCCTTATCTTATACAAAAAATAGTATTTTCTGTGTGTGTGTTTTTAAATCTTTTAAATGATATGTTACGTGAATGTAACTTGTTCTTTTCACTCAGCATTGGTTGTGAGATCGAGTCGTGTTAATCCCATGCCCAGCACTGTCCTAGGCCCTGAGAAACAGCTGAATAAAGCAAATTCCTTTCCTCACCGAGTTTTCATTCCGTGAGGGTTGCGGGGGGGGGGGGGGGGGGGGGCGGGGAGGCATATGTGGGATGAATGGACCACGATTTATTTAGCCTTTCCCCTACTGGTGTGCAGGGTTTAACCATTAACAGTGCCGCAGAGGACACCTCTGTGTGTCTCCTAGTACATGGGCACTGCACATGCTTCGCAAACTTCTCTTGAAGGGCCAGAGAGCACATTTTTTAAGCTTGTGAGCCATATGCCCTGTCCCAACTATTCATTTCTGCCTGCTTGAGAGCAGCCATACACAATATGTAAACAAGTTCTTCAAGAACACAACATTTCGTATGATGTTTACATGTTAATGAAATATTCTTTTCTTCCCCCAACCGTTTAAAAATGTAAAACCCATTCTTGACTCGAGGGGTACATAAATTGGCTCACGGGCCGAGTCGGCAACAAATGACCCCACAGCCCTTAGAAAGATGCTCCAAGTCCAGCGCCAGATGAAAACAGGAAGCTTGAGGGGAAGTTGCCGACCAGTTCTGGCCATTAAGAAACACCGGGGAAAGCCTTTGGAAGCTGGGAGGCTGAATCACAGCTAGGGGTCTCCAGAGCCAGGCCCTTGGCCAGAAGATCGTTTTGGTCTAGCTCAGCCTGTGCGTCATGGCCAGCAACTAGCCCTGGCTCCCTACCTGGCCTTTACTCTCCCGTGGGTAGAGCTGAAGTCTGTGAGCCATTATCCAAGAAGTACAGCTTATCTGAACAGGAAGGTAGTATAATGGGAAAAACAGGAGCTCGGGAAGCCCAACTGCAGATCCTGCCTGGCGCCACCATCCGACTAGTTCTGTGATCCTGGGCAAGACCCTTCACTTGTCTGAGGCCGTCCCTTGTCTATAATGGGAATAATCTACATCCTTCTACCTGGTTTGTAGGATGAAAGGACAAAAGTGTAATGGAAGGTACCTGACAAATAAAAGGTATCCAGTGATTGCCAGCTAACTGGATTTTCTCCCTGGGGAATGGATGCCAGAACACTTCCTGGGCTGGGCCCCCCACTTCCCCTGGAAGCACCCCACTCCATCTTCTAACACTTGTGACCACCAGTCACTTCTGTTGAGCTGGAAACCAACTGGCTCTGGCTTCCACTCCCTGTCCCACATCCAGCCCTTGAGACCAGGCAACAACCCCCACCCCCCCCCACTTCGATTCCCCAGTCAAAACAGCCTGTTTATTTCAAATTGTGATCTTTGAGCCCCCTTACCATTCTGGCCACCTTTGTTAGAATTGAGCTATTTTCTCAACCAAACATCCTACATACTTGGACTGTCGGTGAAGACAGGAGTCTGGGTCTAGAGCTTCCTGGCCACAGATGAGGAAGTCCAAACATTGATTAAGATATCTTATGGTTATGTGTTCAACTTTAGCTCAGGTCGTGATCTCACAGTGTGTGAGATCAAGCCCCTCATTGGGCTCCATGCTGACAGTGCTTGGGTTTCTCTCTCTCTCCCTCTCTCTCTCTGCCCTACCCCTGCACCTGCAGGTGCTCGCTCTCTCTCTCTCTCTCTCTCTCTCTCTCTCTCTCAGTATAAATAAATAAGCTTTAAAAAATATATTCCATGGTTAAGAGTTTAAGACTGCAGCACAAGGCAAGACCTTGGTTCTGCTACTTGAGTAAGTTGCTTAACCTCTTCAAGATCAGATTCATCTTCTTTAAAAGGGGAAATGTTTCTAGTACCTTCCTCATGGGCTTATTGAAAGGGATACACTCAATAATATATGGAGAGTGCTCAGCACAACATCTGGAGCCAGCTGAGCCCTCCGGAGATTCTTTGGGGGAGGGTAAAGGGGCACATTTTGCGAATGAATCTCCTGCCATCCACAGTTCTAAACCCACTCTTCTGCTCCCACAGAGCTGGCCGTACACCTGATCTCAATCTGTGCTTGGTGACCAACTGCCTAGCCCGAGGTGGTCGAGGGACCAGAGGCAGGATGTGAACAGATCAGCGGGTGAAGTCCCTGCGAGCTGTGGCCACCAGGGGGCACCCCGGCCCCAGAGATGGCCTTCCCCTGGCGGACACACCCACTCCTCATCCAAAGTCTGTTCCGTGGCATGAGGTGAGGTAAATTGGGACAGAAAGTGACAGCCTTGGGTGTGGTCGGTCAGACTGACCTAGGCAGGCCCGAGGGCCTGTGGGAAACCCTCAAGCCTGAGGCAGAGGCCCAGGCTGTAACTGAGTCTGACTCCTATCCATGACCTTGGGCAAGTCACTTACTTCCCTCTCTGGCCCCCGTTCCCTGGGTCAGAACAGACTCCAGGACTTGCATGGTTCTAGGATTTGAGGCTGGGGCAGCTGCTGCTTTCTCACCCCTGGCCCTTCTCCAACGCCGGGCAGCACACACTCTGATTGGCAGTGAACCTGGCCAGGGAAGCCATGTGTCACAGACGCCCCTAACTCCCAAGCGCTGAGACACCATTGGAGGGAGGCCTAATGCAGGAGGAGGAAGGGCAAGGTCAGGTGAACCAAGAGACTCAGAGCCTCAAGTGTCTTGCTTCATTTGGGACAGACATCCGGTTTCCTCTGGTTTCTGCCAGGATTCCGGGGGCTTAAAGGAATGAGTCATGGAGGGGGATTGGGGGGTTCCCAGCTAACCAGTTTGCGACAGGAGCCTGGGATGATGCCCATCAAAGTGTGGGGTGGAGACTGGAGACGGGAGGCAAGAAGACCCCCGTGTTCCGATCTCAGGCCCCTGGCCCATCACAAGGGAATGCAGGAAGGCAGCCTCCTGGGAGTTTGGGGGGTAGAACTAGCTTCTTCCCTCAGAATTTGGGGCCTAGGGAGCAGGTGGCTTGAGAATCCCAAGGGAGAGTGCCAGAGGGCTGCTCCAGGAGACCCAGGGGAAGGAGGGAGGGGCTGCCTGGAGGCTGGCCTCTTCCCTAGTCAGTCTGACCAGTCTCCAGCCTCCAGGGCTTTTATCAGTGGCTCAGCTTTTGTTCAGCGGTTCTGATCAAACACCCTGGGGCAATTCGGGCCTGGGTGGGGCTAAGCTTAGGGAGGAAGGGAGTTTGAGGGGGACCGGACGTCAAAGAAGGATCAGAGATTCCACAATTTCACAAAACTTTCGCAAACAGCTTTTTGTCCCAGCCCCCACTGCATTGTCCTGAACACCAAATTTGCATAAAGTTATTACTAAGCCTTAGTCGTAGCACCAGGTAATTTCCTCCCAGGCCTCCGTGGGCTTATGTATAAATGCCCTCCGGAGCTGATCCCTGCCAGAGCCCAGAGCCTGCAGACCCACCCAGACCTCCTGCTAAGCCTGCCGCCCAGAGCCCCATGAAGCTGACGGGTGAGTGTCCCGGCCCCAGGGAGGGAGGATGGAGTAGTAGAAGGGCTGGGCCGCCCTGGAAAGGGACCCTGGCGGGAGTGGACAGCATGTCTCCTGAGCCCCTCTCTGCTCTCAGCCCTGCAGCTGCTGCTGTGGCATAGCGCACTCTGGATGGTGCAAGAAGCCACCCCCCTGGGCCCGGCCAGCTCCCTGCCCCAGAGCTTCCTGCTCAAGTGCTTAGAGCAAGTGAGGAAGGTCCAGGCTGATGGCGCAGCGCTTCAGGAGAGGCTGGTGAGTGAGAGGCCAGGAGGGGACACAGATGCAGAAGAGGGGAGGTGGAAGAAAGAAGACCAGAGGGGAAAGCTGCACGGAGGGAGAGGCAGGAGCTGAGGGAGGGGGTGGGAATGGTAGGAAGACCTCATCAGGGACAGGACACGGGAGAGGAGAGACCCAGGGGGAACGGGGGAAAATTAGGGAGAGGTGGAGCCGCGGAAGGCTGGCTGGGAACTGGCCGGAGAGAACATCTCAGGGACGGTGCTCCTCTCGGTGCTCTCAGACTGGCGGGGATCACAGTGGAGGGCGGAATGAGGCTGAGCAGCCTGGCAGGACCGGGAGGGAGGGGAAGACCTTGGAGAAATGGGGAGGACTCGGACTCGGGAAGCAGAAGCAGCCTGGCCCTATCAGGACCCCCTCACTCAGCGTCCTTCCTGTCCGCAGTGTGCCACCCACAAGCTGTGCCACCCTGAGGAGCTGATGCTGCTTGGGCACGCTCTGGGCATCCCCCAGGCTCCCCTGAGCAGCTGCTCCAGCCAGACCCTGCAGCTGGTAAGTTTCTGGATGGGAGGAAGGTGATGATGGGAGGGAAGGATGGTCTGGAAGTCTCCCTGGATCACCAGGCTCCAATCTGGGACCCTGAAAGGCGTGTCCCGGGCAGCACTCTCTAATGCCCTACTCTGTCCCCCAGATGGGCTGCCTGCATCAACTCCACAGCGGCCTCTCCCTCTACCAGCACCTCCTGCAGGCCCTGGCAGGGATATCCCCCGAGTTAGCCCCCACCCTGGACATGCTGCAGCTGGACGTCACCGACTTTGCTATCAGCATCTGGCAGCAGGTGAGAACCTTGCTGGGGGTGACAAGTGTTCAGGGCCTGGCCTGAGCTGGTTCCCAATGATTGGGCTGACAGCCTGGGCATCCCCATTCTTTAGGAACGGGATGGGAGCATTCTCAGGGTGTGTGTGTAAGGAGCCACCACTTCATCACAGGCTCCTCTGGCTGCCGGCCCTTCCCCGCTCTCTAGAAGAGGGCGGGAGCCAGGCCGCTGGACCTTGCAACAGACCTGGGTTAATGGCTCCACCGTTAACCGTGTGAGCTTCCACAGCCCATCATCAGCCTTCTGCATTTCCTCATTTAATAATGTGCATTCAGCAGGGCCTGCCTGGTTGCTCACCTCCTCTCTCCCCCCGCAGATGGAAGACTTGGGGCTGGCCCCTGCAGTGCCGCCCACCCAGGCCACCATGCCAACCTTCACCTCGGCCTTCCAGCGCCGGGCAGGAGGCACTCTGGTGGCCTCGAACCTGCGGAGCTTCCTGGAGGTGGCACACCGTGCTCTGCGCCACTTCGCCAAGCCCTGAGAGAAACCCTCCCCAACGAGTGTATTTATCATTATTTAATATTTATGCTTATTTAAACCTAATATTTAAAGACAAGAAAGAGCAGAAAGGAGCCCTGGTCTCTTGGGTCCTTGCTGCCACCTCTGAGTTTCATTCTCCTGCTTGTAGCAGGGAGAAAATCTCCTGTCTTCCTGTCCCCTGGACTGGGAGGTGGATAGGTAAATACCACGTATTGATTTCTGTGCGTGCTCCCTGGCCTGTGGTGGGCACTGGGAAGAACCCCAGTGAATCCCTTAGCCCAAGAGTACCCACCTTGAGGCCCTTGGAAGCATCAGGAAGTCTCCCAAGTGGGAGACAAGACAACCCTGTTTAATATTTAAACAGCAGTGTTCCCCCACTGGGTCCTTCCTCGCTCTGGCCTTGCCTGCGTGACTTGTGCCTGCCAAGTGGGCTGGGCCGTGCCTCTCACGTCCCCTTCCCTACAGGCAGTAAGCCCGCAGAGGCAGCCGGAACTGGGAGGCTTGACCCTGGGGTCCCACGAATTTGCTGGGGAATCTATAGTTTTTAAGATGTTTTCGGGAATATTTTGACTTCCAGTATGGGGAGCCCAGGCATCGCTGACATTTCTCACCTTTCTGGATGCCCTGTAGTGACAATGACAGGCTCCTGATGCCTGCCCCACCCTCACCAGGGTCAGGATTCAGACTCCTCAAGGGCCAGGCAGACAGTCATGTACTGGCCTTGCTGGAAGGGGGCTGGGAGTGGGGCGGGTGTGTGTGTGTGTGTGTGTGTGTGTGTGTGTGTGTGTGTGTGTGTGTGTGTGTGTGTGTGTGTGGAATGAAGGTGCAGGGGCTATGATGGAGAGAAACGTTCAACTCTTCACCCTCCACCTCTGCCCCCGCTTTCTCACTGTAGCCAAACTGTGATAATAAAGTGTTTTGTTTGTCTCCAGCAAAATGTTCTTCCTCCTTCTTGAGTCCAGCTGGTGCCCAGCCAGGGGTTGGGTGGGGAGGTGGGGAGTTGAATGGTGGGTGAGGCCAGAGGGAGGGAAAGAGGAGGTGCAGGGAAGAAGGGGGCAGTCCTCTAGCTCTTCCACATTCATGCCTTTAGCATGGATTTCTCTTGTACCTGCTCTGTGCAGGCGCTGGCCTAAGTGCTAGGGACACAGCAGAGGGCAAGGCACGTACGGTCCCTGGCCTCGAGGAGCCATAGCCCCAGTGGGAAGACAGAAGGCAGATGGGCAAGCATACCGGGAGAGGAGAGCATGGGGTTGGGGGATCTTAACAGTCCAAACGTAGACAGACACTGGCCCAAAGGAAGGATTTAATGTTTGCACGGGGCTGGTCACTTTACCATCTTCCATAAACTCCAGCCCATCCACACTCACAGCTGCCCGCAAAGATAGAGTAAGTGCCTTTTACAGATTAGGATCTGAATTCAAGGTGACAACTTGGGTCAGAACTCAAATTCGCGGCCCTGTACTTCTCTCCCTCAAGCTCTGCCTCTGATCTGGCCGGGAGCAACTTCAGGCCACCACTTCCCTGCTGCTCTCAGCCTCGGGCTGGTGAGCTCATACGGTGGGTGGGTGGGCAGGTGAGTGTGTGTGTAAGAGAGAGGGAGGGAGAGAGATGCAGAGACTGGAGGGGCTGCTTTACCTGACAGGTTGGCGGCAATCCTCTCTGCGTCCTCGGCTGAAGATGCACATGTGGGTCCAGGGTGCCTCCATCAGGCCCAGGAAAGCCCAGACGGCCAACCGGTCCCCAGTCCCCCATCTCAAGGCTTCCCCTTGGCCCCACAAGCACCTTTCACTTCCCTTCCCCATCTGGCTCCTTAGGAAGGATGGGGGCGCCTGCGTGGCTCGGTTGAGCGTCCGACTTTGGCTCAGGTCATGATCTCATGGTTTGTGAGTTCGGGTCCTGCATCGGGCTCTCTGCTGTCAGCAGAGCCCGCTTCAGATCCTCTGTCCCCCCACCTCTCTGCCCCTTCCCCGCTCGCGTGCCAACGCATGCACACTCTGTCAAAAATAAACAAACACGGGAAAAAAAAAAGGAAGGAAGGAAGGTCTGGCTGAGTGGGGCCAGAGCCCCCAGCTGCATGGCTCAGAGCCCTCCCTCCCTGCTCGGTCCTGAAGAAATCAGGGCTTGCGGTGTGTGGAGAAAGCAAGCAAGGGTTAAACAGATCCTGCCCCTCACCCCCCAGTCCTCTTTTGGAAAACACAGATCAAACTCAGAGCCAGTCAGACTCTGGGTGGGGTTGGGCCTAGTGGGAGAGTGTCAGGAGGACAGGACAGTGGGGCCTTTAGCCAAAACCTCTCCCTTTTCAAAGTTAAGTCTGACTTTGGGGCGTGGGGGCAGGCGGCGGGTGCGTGTTGACTCCTTATCACCCAGTGCATGTCTGAGGAAGGGAAGGCCTGTCCCTGCTGAGTGGACAAACACAGGAACCAAGCCCAACCCTTCTCAGCCCCAGGACTGAGCCTCTGCCTGGGCCACAGTATACGGCATTCCAAGCAGAGGTTCCCTGCCCCGGTGGAACAAACAGCGACACCACTTGGAGCCACACAGGGACCCACAAATATCTTTATTTACAAATGAGCTGAGGCAAACTTCCCTCATGTGTTACAAAAATATATGTATATACACACTCCGCAGCTGTAAAGTTCCTCAGATGTACATCTACTGTTGGAAGGCAGGGGGAGGCGGGCAGGGCAGGGGTGTGGGGTGTGGAGGGCCCTGGGCTAAGAGCCAGGCTGCTCACATTCTTCAGGTGCTGGCAGGGGGAGAGGAAATTATGAAACTGGGAGACGTCTTAGAGGTCAGATGTCAGGAGTAGGGGAATGATCTGGAAATGACAAAGGGCTCTTACATCACGCAGATCTGAGCAATGATGTCTCATCTTTCCTCACTGTTCCTCTCGGAGGCGCCTGGGGCTGCAGGCCCCACAGCTGACCCCTGAGGCCACTCCGAGCCTCTCAGAGCGCAGCAATGGCCTTGGCGGCCACCTGGCGGCCCAGGGACAGGCTGAGGTCCGTGATGGCCAGAACCACCTTGGGGCTGGACATGGCTGACACCTTCACCAGTTCTGACACCTGCCACAGACAGACAAATGGCCGCTCGCTGGGCTACCTTGTGGTGGCCCCGATGTCCCGGGGAGAAGGAGGCCCCTCCTGCCCCGCGGCTGCCACTGAACCCCAGGCTCCCACTAAGACTTGCTGCCCCATCTGCGCTCCAAGGTGGGGACCGCACGCACCCGGAGGGGCGGCACTCACGGTGGTAAAGGGCATGAACTGCAGGATGCTGCCTCGGCTGCCCTGCTCCAGGCAGTCCACGCACTCCTCCATGAACCACTGCACGAACTGCGTGTGCGGCCCGGCGGTCCGCGAGCCCAGGATGGAGGAAATGAGCAGGAACAGGTTGGCTGTACGGGATGGGGGTAGAGGGAGCACTCCGTGAGGAGGGGCTGGGGGGAGTCAGGCTGGGAGGGGGAGGTGGCACCAGGAAGCAAAGGGAAAGAAGTGTTCGGAATGCCCTTCAAGTAGGGGTGTCCAAAGGAGGAAACGTGAAAGGAAAATGAGCGAAGAGGGACTAAGTGGGAGGCTGGTGGTGACGAGAGCCAGCCACCGGGCAGACGGGGAAATGAGGTGGGGCAGCGTAGCGGGGGTGCAGGGGCCCCAGGAGGCCCCCCTCTGGCTGCAGCCTGGTAGGAGGACTCACCCAGAACTCGGTTCAGAGGGTCTCTCATGTTAACCGTGTGGAGCTGGGAGGCGGACAGGGAGCTGCTCATGGAGCGGTCGGCTGCAGGCCAAGCAGAGAGCGTCTGAGGAAAGGGCCTCCTGCATTCAAAACCCCCCTTCCCAGGGGACGCCCTCACCCGTCAGGCACGGAGGGCCCACCTGGGGAAGGTCTTGGATGCAGAGTCACAGAGGGGCCCGAATACAGACATCCCAGTGGGAGAGGAGAGTACACTGGGTGAGCACCACCAGGCGTCCATCTGCGGCCTGCACGTGCACGAGGCCACATAACCTCACAACCGCATTTTACAAAGTATCCAAGACACAGATCTGCTGAGTAACTAGCCAAAGGTCACAGGGTTTGTAGGTGGCAGCCTCAGATCTTTCCTCTGCTCAAGTACTTTAATCCCTAAAAGGCCTTAAAGAAATTTCTAGACTCAAGAGAAATCTCTGGAAACAGGAAAAATGCAGTGCCACAGAAGAAGCCCTCAGAAAAGGTAATGACATCTAGGGGACCTGGAGGGGGAGGGGCGCTCTTCAGGCAGGAAGAGTGGGGGAAAGCCCTATGTCCCAGCCCACACCTCAGGGGCTGTTTCAGGGGAAGGAAGGCCAGAGCGGGTGAGTCAATGGCACAGACTGTGCCTGAGGCAGTGAACTCACTTGTGGTGAGTAAAGCACAGGGGACAGTGGTATGCCCGAGGCTGGGCTGGGCTCTGGGCAGAAGAGAGTCAGTCCATCACAAGAGGTCCCCAGCAACCCCTGGGCTCTCGACAGGTAGAAAACAGCGCAGTGGGGCGTGGAATGGAACACACTCCCCACACACACTCTCTGACCCGCAAAGAGGCCGGTGGCCAGGGACCACACCAAGCAGCTTTCCCAGGCGGGGTGAGTTCCCAGGAAAGGAGCAGCCTGCCCACCCCGTCCACACGCTCATTAGGACTCACTGGGACTCGAAAGGATGTTGGCGTCTTCCTCATTGGAGCTCAGCAGTCGCATCAGCTTCGAGGGCTGCATGTCATCCAAGGGGAAGAGACTGATATAATCCTGAAGGGCAAGAGAGTCACTATTACACCCCTGGGTCCCCAAATGCCCTGTTATCAGGGAAGAGAGCGGCAGCTCGTATAGGAGTGAGGAAGAGTCAGCTCCCCACAGGCCTCAGATGGCACCTCCAGTAGGACCAGCTTCCCTTATCCTCCCCCAACCCTAGAGAGAGACTCCCTCACACAGTCACCCCTGCAGACGCTTGGCCAATGGACCCCTGATGCAGCCACCTGGGGAAGGGGTCTCTTAACCACAGAAGGCTCAGTAAATGTCGCTGAGCACCTGAATGAGTGCCCCCTACCTCAATGTCTTCTCGGTGTCTCTTCTTCTGGCGGGAGGAGGCCTGTCCCTTATGGGAGGAATAGGAGCTCAGGGCACACCAGACAGCTAGCCTGGCAAAGGGTTCCAGGGAAAGAAGGTAAAGTCAGAGGGCCCCAGAGAGGGTTTCCGTGCCAGTGCTGATGAGGCCCCAGCTGACCGGGCGTCCCCCAGCCCAGCCTCCCTGGGCAGCCCTAGGCCAGGGGCACCCGGCACCGTGCTGTGGGGACTCGAGGCTCTGAGAAAACCCTACTTGGCGAGTGCAGTGCCAGGGGGGTCCATGAGGCTGTGCCACTTGGAGGAATCGGTGAGCAGGCCAGGCAGGATGTGGCCCAGCAGGACCAGGGTCACTTGCTGCATGTCCAGACAGAAGATGGAGTAGAGCAGCTCCACCGCCCGCAGCGTGTGCTCCTTCCGCGTCTCCTTCAACAGTTCCTAGATGGGGAGGGGAAGGAGATTTAGGAGCTGAGGGCTCCAAACGCAGGGTTCTCTGGGAGGGGAAGCCCCAGGTACTGCTCCGTCCCTCACTACGCATCAGCCTCTGGCCACAGCTCCCTGAGGTGGGGGCGCCTCTCAGAGCCCAGGAGCCCCGAGGCCAGGACCCGCCTCTGGGTTCCAAGGAATCTTCTCACAGCATTTAAGAGGCCTCTCAGAGAAGCCCAGCTGACCAGGCTGG